TCGGTTCGCGGCCTGGGCCGGTAACAGACGCGGGGCTCTGCTTTCTCGGGGCCTGTGGGCGCGCTAAGCACCCCTGCCCCGGCCGGCGCCCCGCCTCGCCCGGACCTCAGGAGCACCCGTCGCGTGCACAGAAGGCCCAGGTTTTGTGGGCGCACGGTGACAGGACGGTCCTGTTGCGGAGAGCCCCAGATCAGCTCTCTTGGAATGGGGCGGCCCTGGGGAGTCAGAAAAGGGGCCCCAGGGCTGGAGGTCAGAAAGGGGGCTCCAGGGCTGGAGGTCAGAAAGGGGCCCCAGGGCTGGAGGTCAGAAAGGGGGCCCCAGGGCTGGAGCTCCTGCTGGGACGGCCAGTTGTCTGGTCCACAGCCAGGGCCTCGCTGAAGGGAGCAAGGCTCACCTGCCCCGCGGAAAGCCCTGGTCATGGCCAGCCAGGGAGGCTGAGCGCGCCCACGGGAGAGCTGCGCAGAGGCAGGGAGCGCAGGGCCAGGCGAAGGGACCCAGCCCCGGGGGGCCGCGGCCGTCCATCGCTTCGGTCTCTGCTCTTGGGAGATGCGAGCTGCTTGCACACCACAGAGGGGCAGTGTCCTGCTCCGGTATCCGCCCTCACAGGCTCCGGGATGGCCCCGCAGGCAGCTTCTTTAATTCGCGTCTATTTCATTTGCTTAAAAGGCAGGGTGTGAGGTGGGCAGAGTGACCGTTTTCAGCACTTATTTTACTGTGACAGAGTCAACTGCAGGCCTTGAGCTTTTTCATGGCCTGGACAGGTTTTTTTATGCGTCGACAACAGATTTGAAGTCAAAACCAGGTTTTGTGTAGTTGTTGTTTTAAAGATTGATTTATTTATGCATGCAGAACTGGGCTACATGCCAGAGGTGCCAGGGCTGGGAGAGGCTTCACCACAGAGAGTGGGGAGCAGAACAGGGGGACCGGCGAAGTGCACAGCTGAGGGGAGCAGCAGGGAGACAGGAGAGGTCTGCGTGCCCTGTGGTCACCTCCGGGCCGGAGATCAAACTCACAATAAGCGGCTGCGGCCAGCTGGCTGGTGGTGTTGTTTTTAACCAAAAGATAACTTGGAGACCTAAAGTCAAACAGATTGATCCTTATAACACCCCGTTATAAGATGTGATTGACCCCTTATAACCCCGGGATCGTCTGTCTGCGTTTTTTTCCTCAGCATCAGTGTCAGTGCAAACACTGTGCTCCTGTCCTGGACTTTCCCTCCTTGCGTGGCTGCTCACCGTGTCGTGTGTGTCTTTGTCTGTGTTAGAGGCGAGCACGCACTGTTCTGCAGTCAGTAGAAATGTGTTAGTGTGTCGCAGCCGTCCAAGGCCCCCACTCTGTAATTCTGCCCCCTCTCACGCCCCGCCCGTCCAGCGGTGCTGTGCCAGCCCCTGCAAAGGCTCACACCCGCTATTTCTCTCACTCTGCTTCTCTCCCAGCCGGACCCTCTTAGGCCCGGGACTCTTCCCGACCAGCAAAAATGACCTCATTGCGGGTGAGTTGCTTATTTATTCTCAGACTTGCCTAACAGTAGTTACATGAGATTTATAAAATATCTACAATTCATAATAAATGATAGCAATATGTGACAGTTAACATCGGGGAGGTGTAAGTCAGAATGCAGCTAGTCACGGCGCGTGGACCAAATGTAGCCTCCGGCCTTCTTTTTGCTTTGTTTTATGTGCAACCAACTAAGAAATTTCAGATGGCTGAGAAACAAAGGAAGAGGGAGTGTTTTGTGATGTGAGAATTGTATAATAGTTTTATTGGGACACACATGCTCATTCTTTTATGACTGTGGCAGCTTGGCGGTTCAAGGCAGGATGAGCGGAACTGTAAGTATTTACTCTGTGGCCATTTACCAGCTGGTTGGGCAGGTGCAGGTCTCTCAACTTACTGAGTTGTGGACACAAAAATGTCCTTGGTGGCCACCCTAGGTGGCATTGTCAGCCTTCCAGTAATGATTGTGCAGCTACCTAAAGGAGCAGTGTGACTTAGGGGAGCAATTCCTGCTTAACCCAGGGGAAAAGTAAAGAGATGTCAGAAGTATGTGAGGAAGTGAAATCCATGCGGAGGGAGCAGCGGGGGGCGGGGGGGTTTTGTTGGGCCTTGGGGCCCTTCCTTGGGGGGGTGGAACTCGGGCGGGCTGGGGCAGCTTCATGGTGTTGCGCTCTGAGCTGTCCACCGGGGAGGGGCCTTATCCTGTCGTGACCTCAGGGAGAAGCTGTTGGGTACGTTCCCATTAATTCTGATGTTAACTGAAGGATTTCTGCAAATGTTCCTATCAGCTTGAGAAAGCTCCCTCCCTTCTCTTTTTACTTTTGCTAAGATTTTTTCTTTTTAACCTATGAGTGTTTCAGTTTCTATATTGAAATAATTGTGGGTTTTCTTATTTAACTTGTTAATGTGGTAATACGGATTGATTTTCAATTTTAAACTAACCTGGTGTTTTGAAAAT